CATGAGGGATCTGAAACAAACACCTCCCAATTAGGCCCCACCTCCAAAACTGAGGATCAAATTTCAACATGAGGTTTTGGGGGGCAATCATCCAAACTATAGCAACTCTCAGAACTTTGTATGTGATCTCAACCTCCTTCTTCATGTATCTTAGCAGTTGGAAAAGATGGTGGAAGTACAAGGGCAGAGACACACAAGAGTCTGGGTGTAGCCTGTAAGCACAGGATTAACTCTAAGTGCTGAAGTTCACATTGGATTAGGACTTTGAAGTCAGGCTGCTGGATTCAAAGGCCAATCTGTCACTATTCACAAAATCTTAGATACAATGCTTACCCATTTGTGTTTCAGTTTTCTTATCTATGAAATGAGGATGATAATAGTACCCATATCATAGGACTATTCTGTGTGAGGTGTGCATGTATATGTATATAGCTTAGAACAGTACCAGACACCTAGAAAGAGTTAGTAAATATTAGTTGTTATTTATAATACTCATAAAAACAACTGCTTAATATTATCATAACTCTCTACAAGTTTTAACATTCCTATTTTACAATGAATAAGCTAGGTCTTGGCAAAACCAATTAACCAGCATGGGCCCATTAGACACAGGACAAAGTTTATGCCCTTTTCAATATGCCTATTTGATTAAGTCTCTATGGATACCTTACTAGCAAAAGAAGAAAAAGAAAATCCAGAAAGCAGAGAAAAGGACAAAGAATAAATTCTAGGCCGGGCGTGGTGGCTCACGCCTGTAATCCCAGCACTTTGGGAGGCCAAGGAGGGTGGATCACGAGGTCAGGAGTTCAAGACCAGCCTGGTCAAGATGGTGAAGCCATGTCTCTACTAAAAATACAAAAATTAGCTGGGTGTGGTGGTGGGCGCTTGTAATCCCAGCTACTCGGAGGCTGAGGCAGAGAATCGCTTGAACCTGGGAGGCAGAGGTTGCAGTGAGCCAAGATCGTGCCACTGCACTCCAGCCTGGAGACAGAGCGAGACTCCCTCTCCAAAAAAAAAAAAAAGAAAAAAGGAATAAATTCTATCCCAGGAAGAAAGATTGTACAGTTGACATTCAATAATGCAGGAGTTAGGGGTACTGATGGCCCATGCAGTCGAAATCTGCCTATAACCTTTGACTCCCCCAAAACTCAACTACTAAAAGTGTACTGTTGGCCCAAAGCCTTACTGGTAACATAAACAGTATATTAGCACATATTTTGTATGTTATGTGTATTATATACTATATTCTTACAATAAAATAGAGAAAAAAGTTATTAAGAAAATCATAAAGAAGATAAAATTTATTGGCAAGGCACAATGGCTCATGCCTGTAATCCCAACACTTTAAAAGGCCAAGATGGGAAGATCACATGAGGCCAGGAGTTCAAAACCAGCCTGGCCAACATAGCAAGACCCCATCCCTACAAAGAATGCAAAAATTAGCTGGGCATAGTGGCACACGCCTGTTGTCCCAGCTACTCAAGAAGCTGAGACAGGAGGATTGTTTGAGCCCAGGAGTTCAAGGCTGTAGTCAGTCATGTTCATGCCACTGCATTCCAGCCTGGGCAATAGAATGAGAATTGTTTTTTTAAATCTTTATAAAATAAAATGTCTTCATTAAAAAACAATAATATTTTAAAAATTAAATTAATTAAATACAATAAAATATATATATTTGCTATTTATTAAGTGGAAGTGGATCATCATGAATGTCTTCATCCTCATTGCCTTCACATTGCGTAGGCTGAGGAGGAGGAGGAGGAAGAGGAAGAAATGGTTAACTTTGCTGTCTAAGGGGTGGCAGAGGTGGAAGAAAATCTATGTATAAGTGGACCTGCACAGTTCAAACCCATGTTGTTCAAGGGCCACTGTAAAAGAACATCTCAACTGACTTAAACTATAAAGGAAGTTAATTCTCACACTTACCATGAATGTCCAAGTTTGGGAGCCTTGGGGGCTGGTGAATTCAGTGGCTCAGCAATGTCATCACTAACATGGGTTTTTCTGTCTCTCCGCTCTGCCAGTTTCAGCAATGGTTTAGCTCCCACTGTGGTCCCAACATGACTGCACTATTTCCACACAACAAAATCCAAGGGAGAAGGAAGACTACTCCCAACATGTGTTTTTTAGGAAAGGGAAATCTTAACCAGCACCTTAGTTCGAGTTGTGTCACCAGCCCATGGACTGTCGTGACTGGCTCAGTGAAGCACATGGCTGTGTGAAGAAGGGTGGGTTACCCAAGCAAAACTGAGATTGAGTCACAGGAAAGAAGTAGACAGTGGCTCTTGGGTAGTAACCAGCATCCTCCTCCCACCATTAAAAGCACCCTTCTCCTTTGACACTCCCTTATCAACAGGCAAAATAGTAGTTAATTTTAAAACTAAGCAACAATACAAATCTTTTTTTTTTTTTTTTTTTTTTTTTGAGACAGAGTCTCACTCTGTCGCCCAGGCTGGAGTGCAATGGTGCGATCTCGGCTCACTGCAACCTCTGCCTCCCGGGTTCAAGCGATTCTCCTGCCTCAGCCTCCTGAGTAGCTGAGATTATAGGCACCCACCACCACACCCAGCTAATTTTTGTATTTTAGTAGAGACAGAGTTTTGCCATGGCAACAACACAAATCTTACAAAGTTTCAGCCACAGCATACTTAGTTTTTGACAATTATATTTGATATATGTGTGTGTCAGTCAGAAAGGCTGGTTTATAATGCCATAATAGGCAACACCAAGTTTTCTGAAACATACAACTGTGGCAGTTTATTTTTTGTTCCCAAAACTTACAGCCAATGTTTCAGGGCCATCCAAGGTCTTACTCAGTCCCAGGCTTGTGCAATCTTCCAGCAACCTGAGGCTTTGGGGTTCACAGCAGTAGGAGGAGCAAGCATGGAAAATCTCACACCAGGGGACAAGTTGCCTCCTTTTCAGGCTTTTGCTAGAACCCGTCCCATGGCCCTGCAGGGAAGTCGGGTAAAGCAGTCCTCTTTGTGTCCAGAAGAGGGAGGGGAGCCAGAAATGTCTGTAAGTACTAGTAAATGCAACCACACCCACTGTCCAGGAAGCGTGCTAGGAAGGGGCTCCTGTTCCACAGGGGTCTGGGCATCAGCGAAGGAACCTTGACACTGCCAGGGCTAGCTGCAGAAGCAAAGGGCCTGTCCACTTAGTTTATTACAGCTCCCTCCTCTAGTGGGATCCCTGTCATTAGGTAGGAGCTTGGTTTCCAGTGGGGTAAATAGCTTGAGCTAATCAGAATTATTTGAAATCAAGCCATGAAGTGGAAAATATAAAACTTTGCAAAAATAACACACACACACCTAGATGGGAGCTTGCTAAATTGGGAAATGGTCATGCTCTATTATCCCCCAGGCCCCTCCCAAGCTGTGAGACTTTTTAAGTACAATTTTAAATGCTTCCTAGCCTATAATGTGAACAACACTGGTGTCAGAGCAGGAAGGACCTTGTGCTAAACATCTCTCCCTCCATCCCTATATGACTGTAAACCCTGAAATGTGAGAGAGCACCTCAGGAACAGGTCCAAGTCAACAACTGTGGCTACGGGGACACAGAATCAACCACGGCCCACTCCTACCCCCACAGAGAAATTTTCTTCTGTCTCTGGAGTCTTCTTAAACTTCTCAGAGAAAGTCTGTGGGTAACATGGATTAAAGACATACTCTAACTCTAAATAAGATACTTGGCTTCAGTCTAAATGAGAAGATCCTTGTAGGAGTCTCTGTCCATTAAATCAATTATAAACAGAAAGGAAATTTGGAAATTCAGAAAGTTGTTGATTCAAAATTCAGCTGAACTGGAAAAATTGTAAATGTTTGTGCTTTGAAGTAAACAAATTATGGAGGCTATGAAATTCCTGCTGGTGGATTAGGGTTTTGTTTTGTTTTTGTTTTTCGTTTCGATCATTTGTGAGCCCAAGAGGAGTAGCAACACTTAAGCTTAATTTTATAAGCTTTTTCTTGGAGGACTTGCTAACGGCTTCAATAAAGTTTAAGGAATCTAGTGTAATGAAAAAGACTTTCCTAGCATTTAGCATGTCACTGAATAAACAAAAACAAAACAATCCAATCCTTCAAGATGATCTTCTACCTATTAAATATTCAGTTTCACTGTGAATTTTTTAAAGAGGAAATGGGTATTTAAATTTACAGTAAAAATATTTAAATAACATTTTTATCCTATTCTGTCTGCTTGTGTTATAACATTTATCAGAAGAAAAAAACAAAAAGCAAAATGGGTATTTTTGTTGCCTTTAATTATATTCCAGTGATATCAGTGTTGCCCTTAGTATCAACACTGCGACTCCTGTAACCTAAGTCAGAAGCAGGCTTATTAGTGGCAAAGCAGGGTGTGATGATGACTTGAACTGGGTCTGTTTCCAGACAGGGGACCACCCCAGAAGTTTCACTCAAGAACATACCATGCTCCTTGAAATACCTAAAGGACATTTTCAACTGAGAAGCGAAAGTTTGGTTCACTTTTTGTTTTGATGCCTTTTACTGGAAAACGGTCACTGTTCCTGTTCCCATTATGGGAGGACTGAGCATACTGTGAATGTCCCCACCCAGCTCTATCCTTGGATTAGCGGCTCCAAAGAACAACATGCCTCTCTAAGTCATCCTGTAAGGTGACCCAGAAGTGTGACTTGTCACACCATCCCGCCTTCTTTATCCCCTGGGCCGCAAAGGGCAGCCTGGCCTGATGCACTAAGGATTCATGTTCACAGATGATCCGGGGCATGTTCTAAACATTAACTTTACTTCCAGCCAAGTCATGGCCTCTGTAGAACCTGCCAGAGCAGAAGCTTACCTGCCCCTGGGGTGGGCAGAGGGAGCAGGGGATGGGGACTGTTTTACACTTAAGATCTCTATGATTCTAGTGCTAATTTGGTGTGTGTAACCTTGTCAGGCAAAGGCATTTCTGTAACTCCTCCCCTCTGCATATAAAAGATTAAGACCCTGAGGTTTCAGGACCAGGTCGTGGCCTCTGAGAGCCCCAGAGCTGAGGAAACAGGAGTTACAATACTTGCCTTCTGTTACAACACATCAAAGCAGCAGCAGATTCATCTCAAAGGTAAAGGATGTTGAACTTGATGTGGATGGGGGAGCCTGATGGAGGTTCGTCTCACTCTTCGGCGGGAAGGGAAGTGGATGTGCCCCTTGTAAGCCTGTAAACCTGTCTTTCTCAGCGGCTGGGATTCATCTTTCCCCCTGAACTCCCCTGCTTGCATCTGCTTGGGAATGACTCACAAATCCTAATGGGGTTTTTCTATACCTAATTTATATAATTCGATGATGCAATCTAAACAAGTTAAACTGTGAGAAAGCCGGAAATCGGTGCCACTGTCCACTTAACCAGCCTCTGAGAAAAATAGTACATATGGACTGTGAGATGCCAATACCCCAAAGGAACGAACACCCTCAAGGAATGTTCAAATAGAGATGCTCGACCACAGTGGGCTTCTCGGGAGACTAGCACTGAGGAGGCTGTACCTTAGCTTCGGCCTTTGTAATTCTGAAGCAGAGCTGCTTAAACTGCAGTATGCACAGGAGTCCTCTGGGGATGAAATGAAAATGCAGGGTTTGATTCCGATTTGGGCCTTGATAAATTCTGCACTTGTTCCAACTCCGTGGTGATGCCAGTGCTGCTGGTTCACAGGACAATTGGGTGGCAGGGCTCACTGGGGTCTCAGTGACAGTGAATAATCTTTGAGACTTTTCCATGCCTGAATCTTATCAAATCAGCACAGTCAAAATGCATTTTACCAAAAGCATTTTCTGTTCCGTTTTTGAAGTTTTTATTTTTAAATTAACACACAGTAAAAAATGATTCTTTTGTGTGTACTCAGTTCTATGAATTTTTTTTTTTTTTTTTTTTTTTTTTTTTTTTTTTGAGACGGAGTCTCGCTCTGTCGCCCAGGCTGGAGTGCAGTGGCCGGATCTCAGCTCACTGCAAGCTCCGCCTCCCGGGTTTACGCCATTCTCCTGCCTCAGCCTCCCGAGTAGCTGGGACTACGGGCGCCCGCCAACTCGCCCGGCTAGTTTTTTGTATTTTTTAGTAGAGACGGGGTTTCACCGTGTTAGCCAGGATGCTCTCGACCTCCTGACCTCGTGATCCGCCCGTCTCGGCCTCCCAGAGTGCTGGGATTACAGGCGTGAGCCACCGCACCCGGCCTAGTTCTATGAATTTTAACATGCATACAACTTCGTGTAACCACCGCCATGAAGAATGCAGAACAATTCCATCAGGTTCCCCTCAGCTCCTTCCTGCTTTGCCTCTGCAGTCATACCCTCCCTTGAACCTGGGAGGTGGATGCTGCAGTGAGCCAAGATCACGCCATCGCACTCCAACCTGGGCAGCAAGAGGGAAACTTCTTCTCAAAAAAAAAAAAAAGAAAGAAAAGAAAAGAAAAAAAGAAAAGAAACTACTGCCAAACTGTTTTTCACAATAATACCTGTACCATCCTGCAGTCTACCAGCAATGTGTGAGAGTTCCAATTCCCTTTCTCCCCGGAACCAGAGGACTTCTCAGAGCTCTTTCTATCCTTGTTCCCACTTCTGGGTTGCCTTGAGTCTAAACGGGGGATACCAGAGTAAAAACAGAAAATCTAGCACTGTTCAATGGTAACTGGAATTCTGGGGTTTTTCCCGTAATCTACCTGCTGCTGTTTACTTTTCAGAGTCCTCAAACAGCTGCACCACACATTTTGTCCAGGCTGCATTCTTTGGAGGGACAGATTAGGGTGTACTTCCTCCATCTTACTTGGAACTGGAACCCTTCTGTTCTATTTCAAGCCCCAATCATAAAGAAAAATGTGAAAGGTGGTTAAACATACTTTTGGATAGGTGAAAAATAATCATGAAATACTTGCTCTCAGGTGTTGAATAGGCAAGAAGTACGTGAGCGGTGTGCGCAGTCAGCTGGTGTGCATTGAACCATCCTAGCCAAGAGTCACAAGCACACGCAGTGTAAGCCAAAAGCCTCTTTTAAAAAAGCAACTCTCAGATTTCTCAATTTGAGTTTAATACTCTGGGTAACTGAGACTTGGGAAATCAAATTGCTGGCACAGCGTTAAGGCTCACAAGGGACAAATGTTCCTCTGTTCCCGTCAATTTGCCGAATGTGAGTTGGCTCCTGCGGCAGCACAGATGCCTCACAGGCGGTCAAGTGCGACACATTTGGTTTGACCGAATCAATGTCTTCACAGCCCTTCATGCGGTTGTTCTCTGTAAGCATTAATTGTTGATTTTGTGAAGTAAAATTCGTAAGGGTTATAGAGGTTATGGTTCGTCCAAGTTGGTGCTGATTGACTGGACGCAGCAGCACGAATTCTCTCAAGCACAAGGTTGGATGGCGTTTTGGGCTGAGGGGATACAGAGGAATAGAGCTATTTACTTATCAAGAGCTTTCCAACTATGGATAGTCTCCTCATCACACTTCTACTAAGAGGAGCAGTTGTCTTCACTGTAGACACTAGGAAATCGAAACACAAATACTCACAGAAATACACGTTACCTGTGAAGAAATGGGCTAAACCCTAATGACAAGATGCTAACAGAGTCTCCCGGTAGGTTAGAGCCAGGGAACTTGAACTTCTTTTTTTTTTTCTTTGAGATGGAGTCTTGCTCTGTCACCCAGGCTGGAGTGCAGTGGCATGATCTTGACTCACTGCAAGCTCCGCCTCCTGGGTTTACGCCATTCACCTGCCTCAGCCTCCCAAGTAGCTGGAACTACAGGCGCCCACCCACCACCACACCCAGCTAATTTTTTTGTATTTTTAGTAGAGATGGGGTTTCACTATATTGAACAGGTTGATCTCGAACCTTCAGTGATCCACCCATCTCGGCTTCCCAAAGTGCTGGGATTACAGGCATGAGCCACCGTGCCCAGCCCAGGGAACTTGAACTTCTAGTCCAAAGACAGAAGAAGCTTTTCCCCTATGTTTACTGAGGAATAACTTATGTGTAGTGAAATTCACTCATTTAAAATATAGAGTTTGGTAAGTTTTAGCAATTGTATACTGCTATATAATCAACACTATAAACAAGATATAGGCCAGGCACGGAGGCTCACACCTGTAACCCCAGCACTTTGGGAGGTGGGGGCAGGTGGATCACCTGAGGTCAGGAGTTTGAGACCAGCCTGGCCAACATGGTGAAACCCTGTCTCTACTAAAAATACAAAAATTAGCCAGGGGTGATGGCAGGCACCTGTAATCCCAGTTACTCGGGAGGCTGAAGCAAGAGAATTGCTTCAACCCAGGAGATGGAGGTTGCAGTGAGCTGAGATCGTGCCACTGCAATCCAACCTGGGTGACAGAGCGAAACTCTCTCTTAAAAAATAAATAAATAACTAATAAACAAGACACAGAACATTTCCATTATCCTAAAAAGAGCCCCCATGCTCCTTTGCCCTCAGTCCCCTCCCGCAACTCAACCTCAGGCAATCCCCAATCTGTTTCTGCAACTCTTTGTTCTGCAAGGTTCCCACTGCAGGTCTCTGCACAGACCACTTCCTGCACCCTGGGTGCTCCTGTCCATTCATCCTGCAAGTCCCTCCCCCTAGAAGGAGCCCCAAAGCCTTGGTCAGGTCAGGGCACCCTCCTTGTGTGTCCCATTTCAGTGCCTATCATATGCAGTGCCAGTGCCTCACTCCCTGTTATCTGAAGTCCCCTGAGGAAAGGCCCTGTCTTATCCCAGTGTCAGCCCTTTAGAGTGAAGAAGGATGGGGTATTACATATTTGTTTGTCTGTTTGTTTGTGACAGGGTCTCACTTTGTCCCCCAGGCTAGAGTGCAGTGATACAAACATGGCTCACTACAGCCTTGACCTCTTGGGCTCAAGCAATCTTCCCACCTCAGCCTCCTGAATAGCTGGGACCACAGGCACATACCACTACGCCCAGCTAATTTTTTATTTTTTATTTTTGTAGAGACGGGATCTCTGTATGTTGCCCAGCATGGTCTCAAACTCCTGGGATCAAGTGATCCTCCAGCCTCAGCCTTCCAAAATGATGGAATTACAGGCATGAGCCACTGCACCTGGCCTAAACATATTTAATCCCCTCTTTCTGCTTTATTTTTATCTTTTCCTAAAAGTGTATTTCTAAACTTATCATTAATTGTGTTTCCTTGAAGCTACAAAATTGGTGATAGTAGCCACTACAGTTCTGCCCATAGTAAGGACGATGACTAAAACAAGCTAAGACAAGGTAGTTTGTTTAAAAGTGAAATGCGGCCGCGCGCGGTGGCTCAAGCCTGTAATCCCAGCACTTTGGGAGGCCGAGACGGGCGGATCACGAGGTCAGGAGATCGAGACCATCCTGCCTAACACGGTGAAACCCCGTCTCTACTAAAAAATACAAAAAACTAGCCGGGCGAGTTGGCGGGTGCCTGTAGTCCCAGCTACTCGGGAGGCTGAGGCAGGAGAATGGCGTGAACCTGGGAGGCGGAGCTTGCAGTGAGCTGAGATCTGGCCACTGCACTCCAGTCCAGGCGACAGAGTGAGACTCCGTCTCAAAAAAAAAAAAAAAAAAAAAGTGAAATGCATTTTTTCTTAGAGATTTTACTTGTTTTCACCATTGTGTCAGCAGCATTTTCCAGCAAAACACACACACACACAGCTAGTTAGTTTGTAAAATACCGTTATGCAGACGGAGGTAGAGATGAATGTCACTCTTCAACCCAGAGGGAGCTCTGCTATTTCTTAGAAAAACATGTATCTCCCATTTTACACATGTGGGACACCTCCCAGTGAGTGGGCGTGGTGAGGCTTATCTCTGACATATGAGAAGTGAAAGAATATAGGACAAACACTCTTACCCAATGCTCCTCTGGGCATGGCCGTACGTAGTACATGGTTCAACTTAAGAACTTCTACTGTCATCCAAGCTTTCCTAAATGGTGGCCAACAGATCAAGGATAGAGATAAATGAATCTGTCATATACCCAGAAGCCACACACTCAATATTGTGTGTAAATAAAGATTCACAGTTATTCAGGGTTTTCAATGACATTTAATTAGCTCAGACTAATGATGTCCCTGTGCTGGACTGATGATTCCCTATGCCAGACAACAGTCAGAAAAATCAGTGGGCGAGGACCAAGCTCATCGGTTACATTTATTCAGAACTTTATAAATTGCAGAACACTTTCACATTTGGAGTCAAACTTGGCCTTCAGAGAAATTTTAAAGATGAGAAAACTGAGGCCAGGAGAACCCATGTGACAAATAGACAGCACATCAAGGCAGTGGAAACACAGGTCTGGAGAGAACATCTGGCTTCAAACCCCTTTCTCCTTCTACCTTGCCCCACTGTCCCGGTCTGTCTTTCTGAGACCTGTGGCACAGACCTCTATGCTGAGTTCCAGACCCATGTGTCAGGCACCCCTCCTTGCTTCCCCCTGGGGGTCGGCACCCAGGAAACTCAAACTCCATCCATCCAGCACAGCCTAAGCCCACTCCCCATAGCCCTCCTCCTCCTACATTTCCCATCTGTGCACAGGCAGAGCCAGGGCAGTACCCACTGACAGCCCTTCTCCTTCATTTTCCACGCAGAGTTTCCTGTGAATCTGTCCACTCTTCATCATCCCTGCCCCTCCCACCCTGGTCACAGCATCTCTCTGGGCTCCTCCAGCAGCCCAGTCACTTCTCCCCCTGCATACACTCTCACCTCTCCAGTCTCTGCCCCCAGAACATCTGGCAAAATGCCTGTCTGGACCCACCATTTCCCCACTGAAAGCCCTTCCTGGGATAAGGTCCAAATTCTCTCTGGGGCATGCCAGGCCAGCTTCTGCAGGCTCCCATCTCCCCACACTCTTCTGCAGGGGTTCCCACCAGCAGACAGGAGCTTCTGCAGTCCCTGCTTTTGAGCTTTCTACTGTATCCACTCAGCTGGTCTGAAAGTCGAGCAGTTTCTGCATGTAAAAAAGTGAGCATTTTGAGTGTCTTATATGTATAATTCCACACACAAGAGCCCACGTGTGTGCATGCGCACACAAACACATACACCTCAAAGCAGCTTGCCCTGGGGGTGTCAGGCACTGGAACCATTTTCTCTGATAAACCCCTTCAGTAAAGGGCCTGGAAACTTTCAGAAGTCTGAAGCCTGTCACTCCTCAAATGTCTCACCTAGAAGATGATGAAGGTCATGGCCATCTCATGTAGCTGTTGTGATAACGAAATGGACTTAGGTTCACAAAATTCCTGGTGCATGTTCCTGCTGCCGGAAGTTGAGAAATGATTCTTCTGTGAGGAGGAAGGAAGGGCAGAGGCGTTTGCCAGGTGCCAGCTTGTGGGAGGCTTGCACTCACATCTCACTGTGTCCTGACAACCAGCCAGCAGCAAGCACTGAGGCCACCATTGTCCTCCCACTTGCAGAGGTCCTGTGGCTGGCCAGGTATCCCTCACATCAACAGCAGGGTCAGGATGCCTATACCCTGCAGAGTCTCAGGGATCATGTTTTATGCGGGTTCAGCTTCTATTTTTTATGTCAATAGCTTTAGGAGTACACGTGGGTTTTTGTTACATGGGTAAATTGTATAGTGTTTAAGTCATGGTTTTTAGTGCACTTGTCACCCAAATAGTGTACATGGCACCCAATAAGCGACATTTTATCCCCAACCTCTCTCCCTTGAGTCTCCAATACCCATTATACCACTCTGTTTATAAACCCTTTATGAACCCGTGGCTTAGCTGCGACTTATAAGTGAGAATACACAGTATTTGGTTTTCCATTCCAGAGTTACTTCATTAGGATAATGGCCTCCAGTTCCATCCGAGTTGCTGCAAAAGACATTATTTTGTTCTTTTTTATGGCTGAGTAGTATTCCATCACACACACACACACACACACACACACACACATTTTCTTGATCCACTCATCAGTTAATGAGCACTTAGTTTGACTCCGTATCTTTGCAATTGTGAATTGTGCTGTGATAAACAAACACATGCAGGTGTCTTTTTTATATAATTACTTCTTTTCCTTTAGGTAGGTACCCAGTAGTCAGAATTCCTGGATCGAATGGTAGATCTACTCTCAGTTCTTTGAGAAATCTCCATACTGTTTTCCAAAGAGGTTGTACTCATTTACTTTCCTACCAACAGCATATAAGTGTTCTCTTTGCTCTGCATCTGCACCAACACCTATCAGTTTTTTTATTTTAAACAGTCAAATTGGAGTAAGGTGGATTGGAGTAAGATGGTATCTCATTGTGGTTTTAATTTACATTTCCCTGATGATGAATGATGTTGAGCATTTCTTCATATGTGTTTTGGTTATTTGTATGGCTATTTTCTTTTTTAGGGGATGAACAATCAATACACCCGTCGGGAGGTCTTCTGCCGGAACACCTGCCATGATCTCAAGCGTTTCTGGGAAAGGGAAATTGGTAAACAGACTTACTACCGAGAATCGGAAGAACATCGTCTGGGAAGAAGCGCACTGAGAAAGTATGTGGCTTGTTTGTCTACTTTTTAGAATTAATTCATTTTTAAAATACATCTTATAATTTACAACAGTTTCAGGTTCTAAATTATAAGCAAAATTAAGCAGAAGGTACAAAGAGTTCCCTGAGCCCCCACACAATTGTCCTACTATCAACCTCTGCACCAGTGGTACCTTTGTGACTGTCGATGAACTTTCACTGACTTTCAAGCCATTATTATCTTCTCTGTTTTGTAAGAGCAAAATTAATTTCCCCAGAAGAATGCCAGATGGGTATCTCAGAGGAGGTAATTATTTTAATTTTCCATGCTTACAGTCCTTTAATTCTTATCTTTATGAACTGGAAAACTCTATCCTCTCTGTCACCATGTCACCTTCTAGCACATGAGGGTTACACTAAATGGGGTGGGGGCGGGGGGCAAACACTGTGTCTGTGAAAAGCAATCAAGCAAAGAAAGCAGTACCCGGTTCTCAGCGCCCATTTGGGTGAAAACACAAGATGCCCTGCGTGGTTCCTGGAGGGGAAGGCGGGGTCTCTCCTTGTACAGTGAGTCTGCCGAGCAGTGGAGTGCAGTGACTTGACTCCCGTGGGAAAGGACGGTCACCGTGCTGTGGAAGCAGTGCAGGCTCGCTACCCTCACACACACACTGCAGAAAGCCATCATGGGCTGCAGGGAGGGACCGCCCTTTTGAGTTCTGTCCCCTCAAAGTGAACAGCTCAGCCAGCTGTCTGAGGAGGCCATGGCTTATGTGTGGTAAGGGAGTATGAGACCTTGTGTGCTGTCCAGATGGCAGGGCCCATGACTGCACGGCCACTGGACTGACGACGTGCCTTAATTCACAGGCAGTAAACTCACTGCTGCCTTCCCAAAGCCCCCCCTGAACCCTAGAGGGGAACCCAGCCTCCCACTTACAGAGACCTCCTCAGCCTTATTCCCGACTACCATCCCACCTGCTGAAGTACAGTAGTAGGGCATAGAAAGCTGACTCAGGTGGCCAGTCGTTTCTGCAGTTCCTGCCATCTTCATCCCCCAGGCTAGGCCGCTCAGAGTCCTGTATCATGTGTGCGTTCCCTGGGGAGCAGGCAAAAGGCCTCAGGTGAAGTGAAATTGGCCTGAGGAAGACGCAGAAACCAAAGGCTCCAAGGGAGGCACAAGCCAAGGGGTGAACAAAATAGCCTCTGAAGCAAATTGTGCAGGTTGTTAAAATACTAAAAATATATACATGCAGCCTGGCATGGTGGCTCACACCTGTAGTCCCAGCAATTCAGGAAGCCGAGGCAGGCAGATCACCTGAGGTTGAGAGTTTGAGATCAGCCCAATCAACAGGGAGAAATCCCGTCTCTACTAAACATACAAAATTAGCTGGGTGTGGTGGCCACGCCTGTAATCCCAGCTACTCAGGAGGCTGAGGCAGGAGAATCACTTGAACCTGGGAGGCGGAGGTTGTGGTGAACCGAGATCTTGTCTTTGCACTCCAGCCTGGGCGACAAGAGAAAAACTCTGTCTCAAAAAAAAAAAAAATATATATATATATATATGTGTGTGTATATATATACACACACACACACACACGCAGTATCTATGCATACAGCAAAAGAATGCAAGGATGTAAACTTTTTGGTCGATAGGATGGCAGAAGACTTTAATTTATTTGTTCTCCTCGCCCTCTTCTGATTTGAATCTGGGTAGCCAGGCTCCAGAGGCGCTGCTCTAATTAACACTCTATGTTGTCCCTTCGCAAAATGGAAAATAAAGTCCCCGATCATTGGGCTGTTAGGAGGCTTGACTATGGAAATGTACCGACAACACCCAGCCTGGTGCCAAACCCAAGGTCAGGGCTCAGGAATGTTAGTTCCCCTCCCTCTTCTGCACTCCCATTTAACAATCCAGGCTCTAATATGGCAGCAGCAATACGCCAAAGGAAGATATCCCTTGGAGGAGAAAAACAAGATGAAAACAAAATTGCAAGAGTGAGCAAGGGTGGGAACAAGCTCAGAATTGTGGTGAACAGCAGAGACTTTGCAGCCAGCTGCCTGGGCTCATCCTTCTGGGTCCCTGGGGTGAGCAACCAAATCTCCCTAGGTCTCACTGTCCTCATCACTATTTTAATCATGGAGAAAGAGACACTAAGAGAAGGAAGAGGGATGCTGGTGAGTTACTGCCCTTTGAGTGTGGGCAGAGGGAGCGCAAACTTGATCGTCTTCTTTCATTAGCAGATGGAGCACCTGGGCTACCGATGCACACAGGGGTGTGCACAAACCTCCCCCATTTTGGAACTGGTCAGGGAGGCGACACAGATGCTGCCATCTTCCACCTGCCCACTACAGGGTCTGAGCGTTTTTTTTCTGCAGTCTTCTGGGGCCCCAGCTTCAGAGCTGGTTCACTTGGCCCTTGGGCACCAGCAGCTTGTTGAGCTGCTGTGCAGATGTGTTGGCATGCTGGAGTTGGCAGCCCACACGCTGAGGTCCAGCCCTCCAGGGAACTAGGATGGCACCCCCCAACCTCCTCTCTTAGGGAAGAGAGTTGGGCAAAGGTGGGAGAATGGACAAGAGCATTCTAGGCAGAAGAAATGCCATGTGCAAACACCCTGAGGCAAGGGAACAACTTGCCCTATTTGTGGAATGGAGAAAGCGCCATTTTTATATATCGCTTGTGTATTCTCCAAAGTCGTACTGCAGTACTGGATATATAATAGGTGCTCAAGAAAAGCATGCTTGACTGGATCCAAGAAAACTGTGGAATTGGCTCTTAGATGGGTCTTTGCTGCCTACTTACTTTGGTCTAGGACTCATTCCCATCCTGTCTTCCCGGCCAGGCTGATCTGCTTTGACCCCCATCGCCATTAATTCTCCTCCCTCAGCTGACCCCTCTTCCCATTCTAGTCCTTGAATCACCTTGTCCTTCAGCTTCTGGCTAGGTTCTGTCAACAGGAGATGAGAGGACTGGAGGCTAAGTCTGCCTGTTTCTTCCCCACACCCTTCCTGCTCTGGGTCCTGTTTTCTAGCGGTGACTTCATGTCTCCTGGACTATAGCTCCTGCTGCAGGGCCCCTCCCCCATGGCTCCAGGCTCCAAACACAAGTGAAAAGCTACGGGTAGAAAGAAGCTATTGACATTTGGCAACACCTAACGAAAGTAAATTGGATCTAATGATCATTAATATCTGCTAACATCAAAAAAAAGAGAGATACAACCAGACAGATTTGATGGCCGTCCATCATATCACCGGTGATGTAGTTTGTCAAAATAAAATAAAATAAAATAAAATAATCAAACTTCTAGTGCTAGCCACTAATTAACAGAATATACAGGAGACAGAGGAATGGGTTAGAGTCACACAGGAATAGAGTCAGCAAAATTCAAACTGTGCCTACTCTCCAGAACAAACAATCTGGTTTCAAAAAAAAAAAAACTGCAAGGGAAGGGGAAAGATGAGGGAGAATTTCCAGATTAAAGAAGATCTAAAGGATATAGCAACAAATAGGAATGTATGCGCTTTATTCGGGTCCTGATTCAACCAACCTAACGTTCAACATTAAAAGACATTCGAAGTTGTCAACCAATGAAATATTTATTTCATGATATCGAGTACCTTCTGTTAATGTTTTAAGTGTGATAATGGCAAGGTAGTTTCTTTTTAAAAGAGTTATTAACTTTAAGGACAAAATAGCTAAATACAGTTATTTTGTTTATTATGCAGGAGAAGGGAGATGTGGGAAAGGAGATCAGCCTTAAGCTGGGGAAGCTGGGGAGTAGCTATAGGGGAGTTCTTTATTACTAGTTTCTCTACTTTTTTATATGCTTGAAATCTTCTACTATAAAGATTTTTTAAACAATGTTATTTTGAAAAAAAAAAAAGAGTGCAATTTCCCTTTCCCTTCTTGCTCACCACCTCTTCACAATCCAAGTAGTTCCATTAATTTTTTCTGTATGTATTTTGAGGCTATTTTATTAGGTGCGTGCATGTTTAGAAGTGTAATATCTTCATGGTGAGGTGAGCCTTTTTATTATTAGGCAGTGACTTTATCCCTGATGATTTTTTCTTTGAAGATCTTTTTATCAACAGACTTTAGAACTGTATTAACAGACTTTATATTAAGTCTGTCAACATAGCCAAACCAATCTTGTTTTTATTAGCATCTGCCTTATATATCTTTTTTCTGTCTTCTTATTTTCAACTTATCTCTGTCCTTATAATTTAGATGTGTCTTTTTTAAACAGCACCTTGTTGTCTGAGGACGGTGGCTCATGCCTGTGATCCCAGCAGTCTGGGAAACCAAGGCAGGTAGAACACTTGAGTTTGAGTCCAGCCTGGGCAATATGGCAAAACTCTGTCCCTATAAAAAATACAAAAATTGGCCAGGCATGCTGCCACGAGCCTGTAGTCCCAGCTACTGGGGGGGAAGGAGGAGTGGGGCTGAAATAGGAGGATCACTTGAGCCTTGGGAGGTCAAGGCTGCAGTGAGCCGTGACGGTGCCACTGCACTCCGGCCTGAGCAACAGAGACTCCGCTTTCTCAAAAAAAAAAAAGGACATAGTTGGATTGGATGTTTTTCTAATCTGACATATTTTAGTATAAATTGGTGAGTTTAGTCCTTTTTCATTTATTGTAACTGGCTTGTTTTTACCATCTTAGTTACTTAGAGTACTTTACGGTTTCCCTTTTTCTGTATTCCTTTCTATTTTTTTTCTTACTGTTTGAATTGATATCCATATCTCCTTAATAGATAAGAACTATTTTACTAGTTTCTTCTCTCATCTTCATCATTGTCTTCTTTTCATTTTCTCTGGGTTTACTCTTTTGCAGAGATGTTCTCAGTTTTGATCAAGTCTAATTTATGAGAAAAATTTCTTTTATAGATTTTGCTTTTGTTGTCTCTAAGAAGACTTTGCCTATCCCACGGTCACAAAGATTGTCTTCTGTTTTATTTCTAGAAGTCTTATGAATTTAAGTTTTGCATTTAGATTAATAATATATTTTGACTTAATTTTTAATATAATGTGAGGTACAGACTGCAGTTCACTTTTTTTGCATATCCAGTGGTTCCAGCACCATTTGTTGAAAAGACCATCCTTTCTCCGCTACATTGTCTTTGCACGTTTGTTGAAAATTAATAACTCATCTATGTGTAGGAATGTTTTTGGACCTTTTCTGTCCCATTGATCTATTTGTCCATTGGCACCAATGTCACACTGTTTTGATTACTTAGGTTTACAACAATTCTTGAAGTCAGGTGGTGTAAGTCTTACAACTTTTTCTTCTTTTTCAAAGTTGTTTTAGTTATCCTAGGCTCTCTGCATTTTCATATGAATTTTGGAATCAACTTGTCAATTTCTGTTATGTAAAACAGCCTGCTGGTTTGATTGGGATGGAATTGAATCTATAGGTCAATTTAGGGAGAAATGACATCCTAACAATATTTAGAGTATCTGATATATGAACACAATATATATGTCCCTTTATTTAGGTCTGTTTTAATATCTCTCAGCAATGGTTTGCAGTTTTCAGCACATGAGTCATATATATCGTTTGTCAGATTTACCTCTATTTTGTATTTTTGATATTATTATAATTGATTTTTTTTTCATTTCAATTTATGGTTGTTTCTTTGATTTATGGGTTATTTAGAATTTGTTATTTAGTTTCATAATATTTAGGGGACTTTCCAGATATCTTTCTGTTATTAAGGCTAATTTAATTATTGCAGACGGGGAACATATTGAACCCTTTTAAATTTATTGAGACTTGTTTTATATCTTCGTAAATATTCCATGTATGTTTGAAAGGAATGTGTGTTCTGCGGTTGTTAGGGAGAATATTCTATAAATATTCTATATCAAGTTGGTTGATAGTGTTGTTCAAGTGTTTTATATCCTTATCAATTTCTTGTATACTTGTTTTACTGATTATTGAAAGATGGGTATTGAAATCTCTGCTATAATTACAGATTTGTCTACTTCTCCTTGCAGTTCCATCACATTTTGCTTCATGTATTTCGAAATTCTGTTATTAGGTACATAAATGTTTCAGACTGTTATATCATCTTGATGAATTGACCCCCTTATTACAAAATGACCCTCTTTCTCTGTGGTAATATTTTTTGCTATGAAAACTACTTTGATATTAATATGACCACACCAGCCTTCTTTAATTAGGTTTAGCATGGACTATCTCTTCGTCCTTTTACCTTTAACCTATTTTGTCTTCATATTTAAAGTGGATTTCTTATAAGCAGCATATATTTAGATATTGTCTTTTAAAAATCCAATTTGACAGTCTTTGCATTTTTATTGCATTGTTTACACCATTAACATTAATTGGTATGATTTGTTTTAAATCTACCATCGTGCTATGTGTCCTCTATTTCTCTCATCTGTTGTTTATTCCCTTTTTCTCTTTTTCTGCCTTGTTTTGGATCAAGTGAGTACCTTTTATGATTTAATGTTATCTCTTCTGTTGGCTTTTTAACTATTGCTCTTTGTGTTTAGTGGTTGCTTTAGGATATATAGTACACATCCTTAACTTATCACAGCCCGCCTTCAGGTGATATTTTATCACTTTTTGTGTAGCATAAGAACCTTAAAATGGTATATTCTCATTTCTCCCCTCTTGGCCTTTATTGCTATTGTACAAAGTACAACTTTACTTCTACATATGCTATAACCCCACAGTACATCATTAACAGTTTCACTTTCAACGGTGGGCTCTTTTTGTTTTTTTTTTTTTTGAGACAGAGTCTTACTCTGTCACCCAAGCTGGAGTGCAGTGGCGTGATCTCGGCTCACTGCAACCTCCGCCTCCCAGGTTCAAGCAATTCTCCTGCCTCAGCCTGCCGAGTAGCTGGAACTGCAGGCACTCGCCACCATGACCAGGGAATTTTTGTGCTTTTAGTAGAGATGGGGTTTCACCATATTGGCCAGGCTGGTCTCGAACTCCTGACTTTGTGATCTGTCCGCCTTGGCCTCCCAAAGTGCTGGGATTACAGGAATGAGCCACTGTGCCTGACCACAGTGGGCTATTTTTAAAGAGATTTAAGTAGTTTTAAAAAGTATTAATATATAACCACATCGTTGCTTTTCAGATGCTCTTCATTCCATGTGTACATCCAGATTTCCATATTGTGTCACTTTCCTTCTGCTTGAAGGAACTCCTTTAACATGTCATATAGTGACAGTCTGCTGGTGATTTCTTTCAGTTTGCGTATGTCTAAAAATATCTTTATTTCACCTCTGCTGTTGAAAGATAGGTTTGCTGTGTAAAGAAGTCTAGACTGACAGGTTTACTCTCCCTGACTTTAAATACATTTTCAAAGGAAAATTCAGAGAAGTAAGATTAAGTACTTTTAACAAAAATGAGAACCTGTTTACTCACACATATAAATAAATAAATATGAATAAATTATAAATATATATATATATTTAAACTTGCATGTCCTCTGCGTGACTTTTAAAACCTGAACACATACACGTAATTTCAGCGGCTGGCAGGAGAGGAAGAAAGCTCTCCTGAACCAACAGCCGTGGAGATGAGTGCTCCATCTGTGTGTGTTTGGCTTCTATTTTCAGGCTCAGAGAAGAATGGAAGCAGAAGTTGGAAACTAAGCTGAGGCTGCGGAACAATCCAGAGGACACTGAAAAGCAGACAAATGTTGGCTGAGAGCTTCCTGCTTCATTGACACAAGAAGATGCAAAACACTGAGGTCACTTTGCTAGGAGAAGTCAACGCAAATCCCTGAGTCCCTTTGCTATACCTGTCAGCCCTCACACTATTGTTTCCCCACCTGGGAGAGGATTTACCTGTAAATGCTTTCCCAGTGCTTGATGGCAGTTATTGGTCAAGTCAGTCCTCTGTGCATGGGCGCCAGGTTGTTATCCCAAATGTCTCTAAAGATAGCTTATTTAATATCGAAGCTCCATGCAGCACTCCTTGCTTCTATATAATTATCTTCTAATTTTGAAATCCAAATATTTTAAACTGTAAACACACCAAGAGGAATCCTCAACCTTCATGGTCAAACTTTAAACATTGCACAGTGGTAATGCCCCACCATTTCACCTAGGAAACACAGCTTTATGGAATTCTTGTTTTCTTTTTATAAGAAGAGAAATGCACCTATCTGCAGAAATTTAAAAAAATTATCAATAGTCAAAGTACAGTTTGAAAATAAATTAATCTAATATTCTTTTTTCTTCATATAAATTTAATTGGCTTTTTCAAAAATATATTTACCAAGAATAATATCAGAATAATTTTAATAAAGCTTGGTTGTCCTGTCATCACTATGCACATGCCTTCATTTTATTGCTTTATTTTAATCTCTGCATGTTTGCACAGGTTGGCTCTCTGTCAGCCCAGCCGAAGTATATCTGGCCACTCCGCAGAGTATTTACCACACAGATTCTGGATTTTGAAATGGTACAGTCCCTCCCTTGCCATCTCTCAAGTTCAGAAGCACCAGGGTTTGATGCTTGCGAGAGTACAAACTGTAACCAGGCCTCAGGCAATTATTTTAACCAAGGGAAGGGAGAAGAGATGCAATGATATAAAGTCCTGGGCACTTGCTGGCTATAAGCAGCACCTGCAAGGCCTTATATACTATACACAGACGAAATGTTTATGGCAGATGCACCTGACAGCAATAACAAGATAACAAGTTAAGCAAATACACTGAGAATGATATTATGGTCTACGAAGAATGTGTGTTCGGAGTCCCAAGCTAAGAAATCTGGGAATGGCTAACCTGGAGTTTCATACCTTAACTGTGAAGGACACCTGAACCCCCAGCCATCTTTTGGAACATAGGCTGTACAGGGGATCAAAGCCTTTTGTTTTGGGTTAGATGGTGGTTGCTAGGTGGAGGGTGCTAAGTGAAAATGCTATATAAACTGCATGTTTTTTACAAACAGTGGTGGTTCTCTTGTCCAGCCCGCTGCCACTGGACCATCCCTGTATGTAAGTTCCCCCAATAAACCCTATGTCTCATTCGCTGTCTCTGAGTGTCTTCTTTGTCTTCTCAGACATGGTGCCATTTCGCTGGAGTCAATAGGAGCCTGGCTTGCCATAACATTACTAGGCGATGCAGAGAGTCAGGCTGGCCAATTCTGCCAGTGGTGAGTGTGGTGTTGCAGTCTTCTAAATGCCCTAATAGAGCATTAAGTATTTCCATCCACATCCCTGGGGAACCCATTAGGCTTCATCAGGCCAATGGGAATTTCCAGGAAGAAAGCAGGACTGGGGCAGTATTTCCCCAGCGTCCACACTTAATATGATCCAAGGAACAGGGCTCAGAGCCCTCTCTCCCTCTATGGTCTCTTATTCAATCTTGGATTCAATTCAACTAATAAATTACAAATTAGAGCTGGGGAAATTTGAGAATGTTTAGATGAAGAAGGAATTTTTGTTGGGTGTAGGAGGAATGTAGGAATTCAATAGAGGTCGAAGTAAAGTCATAGCTTGCAGGGCTGAGAGGCTCTCAGAAGCAAAGGCCTGCCTTTACAAACTGCAGATGCTATTGCTGGGATTGAAATGCAGTAGAGTGAGACAGGAAATATAGGTGAAGATTCATTGTGCATTTACTCATTCACCATATGCCAGGCACTAGACAACCAGAATCCAGCAGGAAAAAACAGACGTGCTAACTCTGGAAGCTACAGTCTAGGGAAGAAGCCACTGGGAGTCACAGCAGGCCATGGTGCTCATGCCCTGTGGGAACACTCTCTGGCCTCAGGAAGATCATATACACATGATCCAGGAACAGTGAGAATTCAGAGCTGGCAGGTCCTGGGTACTTTGAGGAAATACATTCAGGAAAGGTAGAGTGGGAGTGTGGAGAAGGCACAGCACACAGGGCCCTGTTGGCTGATGGATTCGAGCTTTGCCTAAGGGCACAGGGAGCACCTGAAGGGTATTAACAAGGAGCATGCTGGAGCATTGCCCAGCTACAGGAGGTGAGAGGACGGAGGTGGGAGGCCAGTCACAAGCTCCTGCAGATGGCTCTGGAGAGGCCTTGGTGCCCTGGAAGGAGAGGTCAGGAAGGTAAGGGGTAGACAAGGAGGAAGACCATCTTGGAGGGAAGCGCACAGCTCCCTGAGTGATGGGGTGCAGAGGGAGGAGTGTGTCCAGGGGGTTAGAGGTGGCAGAGGTTCTTGGAGGCTGTGAAAAGGAAGGGAATATGAAGGAGAAATATGATGTGGGACTAGAGGTGGTGGGACACATCAGAAGCGTGATGAGTGAGAGGGCCCGGGAGACATGCAATTTGCACCAAGGAGCATGCAGGAAAATCCTGTTCCCAGGTGGCTGCCCAGGTACTCTAGAACACTACCTCCTCAGGGCGCTGCCTAGATAGTACAGAAACGGGTATCTCAGGGCCTGACTGATCTTCAGGATGGGGGACAGAGACCTGGTAGAAATCTCGGCTGGTTCCAGGCCAGTATCCAGGGCAAGCATATGAATCCATCAGAGTGAGCCTCAGAGAGAATGATGAACCCATGGCCAAGGAGATAGTGAGCAGAAGAGGTTTTGGATTTGGAAAGCCAGTTTTCTTGGGAAAGATTTTATTACAGGCGTGCTGACAGGTGAAACAGTTTATGGGCATTCTGTCTCTGAGTATTAAAAAGGGTATCCTGCTTTTTGAAATACCCAAGCATTGCTGACTTCTCAGAGCTCTGTATCTGCCCCAGTGCCTGAATGTGCATTGAATAGATTTTTATTGATTGGTATGTCTTGGTTACAAATGTTTTAGGTGCTTTTCTGTAAAGTACCTAAATACAAATAGAATGAAATTACTCGGTTAAGACTGATACATAAAGTTAAATTTTCATATTCACCGATATGGATGAAACTCATCACTTTAAAGCCTCCAGTGGTTCCGTTCTAGGAACGTATGTTTCTGTGGAAACTCGTAGATGCATAACATAGGATTGGTTTGTTCACAGTCTCAAAATAGCCTTGGAGGTTGACCCAGGCCTTGAAGTCCTGCTCTCAGGCCGCTCTGCACCGTAGGCTCAGTGACCTCCCAGAGATCTGAATAGTCCTAGTTGTTGCTCCTTGGAAACCTTGACTCTCCACAGATGAGCAAAAGCTGCTTCTTTTTTCCCTAATCTATGGAAAGGTCACCAGGATAAAGCCCCTAGTGGGTGTGGAAGCCAGCTTTGGAAGAACCTGAGAAGTGCAATGGGAGCAGCTGTGAAAGGAAGGTCGCAACTATACAGTCAAGCTGTGAGGCCAGGAAGACCCAGGACCCCCTCAGGGCTCTCAGAGGCTGAATATGAGGGCAGAAATCTCCGCTGCCTTGGCAGCGGAAAAACCGTGGGGACAGAAACAACACTCATATATTATGAGACCCAAAATTATCTTTTGGATGCATGAATGGAGGGTTTGCTTGTAGCACAAGCACATAGTCTTATAAGAAACACTTAACTAACAACTCCATTCAAAGCAGGGCTAGGCAGACTTCATAGATCGGCTCGGGGCTTATTTCCTCCCTCATTTAGCAGAGAGCTGGCTTAGCTTTAGCTTTCTGAATTGGTCAATATAAAACACACTGAGACTAGCTGCTAAGCTTCGGAGGCTTCTCTCCACACAAGGTCACTTCCTGACTGGGAAGCTTCCCGTGTTTCATAATTGACCAAATGTTTCTATTTGGCCTACAGAGTGAAGGGCTTTACAGGGCGTGGTGCTTCTGGAGCCTGCGCCCAGCACAGCGGTGCCAGCCCAAGCCCGAGTCCGGGCTGTGCTCTGCTGCTTCTCTGCCTGCAGTTTCCCCGCAACAAACATAATTTTGCCTTTCTATCGAGCAATGGCTTTAGTGTTGGGTGTTCCATGACCATGTCCTCAACAGCGGCTTCATTCAGGCCCTCCCTAGACCCAGACGGCTGTCTTGGAGGACAGCTCCCAAGTATACACAGAACTTGAGGCAAGAAGAGGGAAAGATACAAAAAAGGCAGAGAACAAAACTGAGGAAAGTTTAACACCCGCAGAGGGAGAGAAAATACAGCTTTCTGGAAAGACTCTTGCACGGGGTTTAGAAAATTTCATTCTTGATCATGGCTGTTTCTGCCAGAGGCCAGTCAGGCAAAAAAAAACAAAAACAAAAACAAAAACAAAACAAAAACAAAACAAAACAAAACAAAACAAAAACGCCAGGAGGAGGAAAAGGAAAAGGAAGAGGAGAATGAGGATGAGGATGAGGAGACAGGGAAGAGGAGGGGGTAAAAGGAGGAGCGGGGAGAGGAGGAGAATGGAGAAGGAGGAGGGGACGAGGAGGAAGAGGGGAAGAGGAAGAGGAGGGTGAGGAGGAGGAGAAAGAGGAGGAGGAGAGAAGGAAGAGAGGAGGAGGGGAAGAGGCAGGGAGGCAGGCCCTGACCACTGGAGGTGGTTCGTCGGAGTCGCTGTTGCATAGATCTGGTTACTAAGGCACTGGAACAGCTGAGACACCAAACAGGGAACAGCAGGCAATCCAGGGCTCCTCAGCACCAAGTTGCTGCTCAAATCCCTAGCACCGCAGGAACAAAGGAGAGCCGCCTGGTGGGAACTGGAACAACATGGGGAAGTATCCCCAGCAAGCTCTGGGCCCGCGGAGGGAGGTGGTGCGGGAGATGCTGAAACCCAGCAGCCGCGCTGCCTGAGTGGGAGGTGAGAAGCGCCCTGGCTGGGCCTCCCTCCGGCGCCTCCCAGTGGCCGCAAGCTGGTCGGCGGCAGGTGCTGCGCAGTCAGCGGGACCCCGCGATGCGAACGAGAGTGATGAGCGTAAGGACTCCTCTCCATGTGCTGGGAAATGTCAGGACAGGTCTGTCTTTCCGAGTTTCCCTTCTGAGATGGAAAGCGGTCTTTAGGGATTTGTCCAGATCTGAATGTCTGTGAGACAAGCATGAACTTTATCAGGAGACGTTGTGGTGGAACCACACCTGGTCATAGGCCTGGTGGGTGTGTTCTTCAAGAATGGGGTCTTCCGCTGGACAGACACGGTGGCTCACACCTGTGATCCCAACACTTTAGGGGGTCGAGGTGGGCAGATCACCTGAGGTCAAGAGTTCGAGACCAGCCTTGCAAACATGGTGAAACCCGATCTCTACTAAAAACACAAAAATTAACCAGGCGTGGTGGTGGACGCCTATAATCCCAGCTCCTGCTGAGGCAGGAGAATCGCTTTAACCCTGGAGGCAGAGGTTGCCGTGAGCCGAGATTGTGCCACTGCACACCAGCCTGGCGACAGAGCAAGACTCCATCTCAAAAAAAAAAAAAAAAAGAAGAAGAAGAAGAATGGAGTCCTTATGCTAAC